TAAACAAAGAATATGGCGAAGAACAATGAGTTGAAAGTTGTGATTGTGCAGTAAGAAAACGTGTTTCCTTCTCGATTCACCAATTTCTCAAGCCATCTTTGAATATAGCAAATTAAGCACAACGTTAACAAAAAATATACAACCACTCTTGAAATGTGTTCAAAAGAATAGGTCTTATTAATTAACTATTTAGAATTTTTGTGTTTGTATTGCAGGTGCCGAAAAAGTGATAATATCTTGTCGCAGCGCATGTTTTCCTGCAGAAAGTGGTCGATGCTTGCTTACCTCCGATTTTAATTTGTAATTTGTGGTATTTCAACGTTTTCAACTTAACATGTCATGTTTAAAAGTGGCCCGATAAGTGCTTCATGCATATTACGCTGGTGTCTAAATTGTATTGCTTCTCCTGCCGGCAGAGCTCTACCCACTTCCTGGCCAAGGCGTCGTCGCGGGGAAACAAAAAAAAAACTGCATTTGGGGGCTTTACCCCTACGGCTGCTGCAATTCAACACACGACACGATATTTTTATAAAGTTTTTATTACAAATAAAACGTTTTTTATTCAGAACGAACGAATTACTTCGATTTTTCACTTGAAAGTACACAATACGTTTGCACTTGTTTCTAAACAAAAAGTTTGTTTACGTTTTGCCATAAATGTCAAAGTCGGCAAAACCAAAGTAGCGGTTTCGGGAATGCGCCACCGTCAGTTCATTTCACCATTTCACCATGATTTCTTATCAGTAGCGTGTAACCAATATAGTATGTAAGCACCTAAGATACACACATATCCCTATACATATGTGTATTAGGAATATGTACATATGTATATATATATATATATGGGTCTGTATAGAAATGTACTGGACAAACTGCGTTTGTCTAGTTAGAGATAGGAATAATTTTAAGTTCTCTATAAATAAAGGCTCCGCGCAATCGGAGCGTCAGTGTCCTTTTAATGTACGGTGATTACAGTTCGTTCTAATTTAACACGAACATTGGCTTTTTTGGTTGTTATTTAAAGCCCCTCGTTGCCTGCACACCACTATCCCGAGATCAGACCAGCCTAAATAGATTACAATCCCATTTTAAAGTTTAACTACAAATTTATTGACAATATCACCTTAAAACTACTTGAGCCTGGCATTAGGCAGAATATTTAGGAGCTACTAATTGTTAATTAAGTAATTAACACCAAACTAATTATATTATTCACAACTTTTCAGTTCAATATCAAGCTTATACTAGGTACTAAATATATGTAATTATGTAGCAAAATTTTAATATTTTCAATTGCGTGCTAACTGTTTTGCGTGAGTGTCGAAGCTATATACAAAAAAAAGAATGCTCGACCTACCTCAACAATGATTGTACATATTGGGTGGTTCACAAGGTGTCGTACTTGTCGTATTGTTGTATGTTGTAAAGTTTTTAACGGCTAAATAAATGTTTAGAGGACTTGAAATCAGCACCAACTATTTTTTAATTGTGTGAAATTTCATAATAAAACTTGTATGTTAGCTTGAGATTTCCTTAAATATAGTTTTAGCCGTTTAAAGTTTATGACATACAACAGTACGACAGTATACAACACCTTGTGAACTCCCTAAATATGAATTCATTGACCTACTCACTTTGATTGGTACTTAAGAGAGAATTCGGAGTACTTACATATATAGATTGGTTGGAGGTAAATACAATAGCATAAATGGAGAATGAAAGCAAATAAGTATAGAACCGAAGGCAACAACAAACTTACTTTGAGCGTCAGGCATGCATTGCTCCCTCGATACGTTGAGGGCCTCCTCCGCATTGATGTTCTCACGCGCTAATAAAAAGGAATTTCAATCATGTGGTAATCGTAATTATTTGCTTTCTTTTTTATACTTTCCTTCAACTCTTAATTAGCCATTTTTAATACCATTTTAATTCATAGATGTATTATAAAATTACACTAAGTTCGTTAACCAATTAAAAATTAGATTTTTGCATTGGATCTTCTATAGACCGCACTGGTGGTCATATAAATATTTACAGTAGTAGTATGTAATACCCAAAGAGAATTAACATGCAAAAAAAAACGAATGCAAAGCTAGTAAGAAGAGTGATTGAGACTCTATCGTTGCTATATTTTCATTGTGTAGCGTGAAACAAAATTAATATTTTGTGGTGAACATTATTCACTCTCTAAAATAATTATAAACAGGTTTGTCCCGCTGATTCTTCTAGCGAAAAGGTGATGAAGAAGAAAAAAACACAAAGCAAATTCTACTGAGTACAAAATTAAAATCCAACATTTTTCTTATTTTTCTTCCTAAATGCTGTACTAACTACATTATTAGATATAATTAAACCAAAATGAACATTTCAAATGAAGTTCGCCAAGCCCGAATGGGGTCGTTCAAGATTGACCTTGTGGAATAGTGACAAAAAAATATAAGAATATTTCTTTCACGCAGGCGAGCAAAGGGGTGCGTCTAAAAACTCTAACTTACATAATCTGAGCGATTATTGTTCAGACTTAGACAATGGTTGTAAAAATATAAATATTTGGATCCTAAATTGAGTTGCCGAATTCCAGTGTTATCTAAAACGAGTTGGAGGTCAGTCTGGAAGAACGCTGCATCGGTGTGACGTTAAACGGAGATGCGTCGGCCTGAGTCGAATTTGTCCATCAACATGTGACTTGCGAGCAATATAACTCATGCGACTCGATTCCCGGCGGATGGAATGCCTGGAGAACATCAAATTCTTTGGTGATTCAGTAGATATTTGTCATACTGGTAGATGTATATCGATGAAGCTTACATCCGACGGCGACAACCCGTAGGGTCACGTGTGTCTAGGCCAGTCAAAATTTCAGATTTTATCCGAGAAAATCGAGTAATAATCGCGCAATGATTAATTAAGCTATTTATTTATTTTACCGGTTACTAACTAGCGCCGCGTTCTTGTTGTAAAAAAAAATACTTTTTAATAAAACACACAAGGAGCTTTGATATAGCGCAAGCTCAGAAATTATGGCTTTCTCATTGCACGGTCTGCACCGCTTGATGTCTTCCAGAAAAAAGAGGAAGATCTCGGGCGGAAACTGGGCATATCTCCAAATATGTCGGCGAGAAAAAGTTGACATTTTTGACATTTTTGGTTGCTGTGTTTAGTTTCCCATGCAAAGCAGGGTTGACATTAAGGGGAGTATTTCTTAGTTTATCGCAATATTAATAGTAAACTAGAAATAAAAACGGAGAGAAAAAAGCTGAGGTCTATAGGAAATAATACAAAAAACTCAAAGAGCTACAAAGCGAGTATGTGTTTTGGGTATTGTGAGGTAAGCGCATGTACGCCAGTCAGGGGCGCAACCAGGAATATATTTTAGGGGGGGTTTTATATTTCTGAAGATATATCACCGGAAAATACTGAAAATTTTCTTCAGATAATACGCTCTTTAAAATCAATTTATGCAAGTTTTATGTACAGTATGTAATAAATAAATAAACGTTTTAAAATTCATAAACTGCACTTTATTTACATAAAAATTAACAGAACTCAAACACTTTTAACCGACTTTAAAAAAAGGGGAGGTTATCAATTCGCCGGAATACGTAACTTTGGACCACGTGAACCGATTTCAATAATCATTTTTTTGTAGAAAGATGGTACCTCAAGGTTCGTCCCGTAATTTGGTTTAGAGATCCGATGATTGGATCACGAAGAAATTAACGGTACCCCTAAATTTGAATATAAGAATTTAAGTCCGTTGTGTTCTTTCCTTAAAAACTACTTGTTTAATAAAAAGTGCTATAAACTCAAGATGCGCTCAACTTTCAAAAGTACCTAAGAAAAAATTTTAAATAAGACTCAGTAAAAATAAATTTATTGATTCCATGAATTTTTGCACTTTTATGTTCCTTTTTTCGATTTCTGGTTTCTGGCTTTCGATAGAGATGGTGATTTTTCACGATTTCTAATTTTTTTTTAATATTTCGAATACCGAAAAAATTAACTGAACTCTCAAGAAAAACGAAAAATGTATATAAAACGACGGACGAGAAATGGAAAAGAAATTTTCTTCTACCAAAATTTCTTAAATCAGTTTGCAGCTCTCAAGAAAAAAATGCTCGTATATTCATTTCCTCATGAAAATTTACAGCAAAAGCAAAGCGCTTTTTCAAGCAACAGAAATTATAATAAATATTTCTTATAATTTCCTTGAGAGCTGGATTCTTAGCTTTAAGATACAGTTTTTATTTGAGGTTATTAGCTTTAGGGGGGGTTTGAACCCCAAAACCCACCCCTTGTGTGCGCTAATGACGCCAGTACACATCATATTCCACATCTTTGAATGTACTGATAAAATCTTCTGCTTTAAAAAAAATATTTCTTCTAGCGATCAGGTAGCATGAATTTGATGAAATGTCATAATTTTATCAAATGTCAAACGGTTAGCAACAACAACGAATATCATTAAATGGAACTACCTTCTTTTATGTATCATGGGTGAGGCGAGGTGTTAGAAAATTGTGAAAAATTTATGATTTTGCATTCGTTTTCTTACTTTTTGGCAGCTAGACACTAATTTTAAACAATTTTTATTAATTTCATGCAGTTCTGACGTCGTGAATACTAAACACAAGCTCGAAAAGCTGATTTTACTTATGAGAGCAAATCCCAATACTCAGTTGGCACGATCTGAGCTATTGGTAGTTTTAAAATATTTTAAATAGATTTGGCTCACAAACGCCACTTTAGACAGTCCGAAGTTTTTTAATAAATCTGTAGACAAATTTCTTAAATACAAGTATTGTATGTTAAAATCAATAATGATAGAATACAAGATTGCGCCAATCGAGCTGAGAGCAACTGGCTGTGACGTCAACAAATACCAGAATGAGAGAGCAAGACGAGCTCGAGAAGAAAAAGAGAGAGAAGCATCGAACAAAAGGCAGTATTGCCAAGTTTTGAATTTGAAAAAGCACCAAATTTTTATTGGTGTATTTTATGGACTTTATATGCAGATATAATTTTATTGTAAGGATGCCGATTCAAATTAATAAAAACTAGTAATAATCCCCGAAAATCGGTGGTCTAAAAAATATGCATATTTCTTTATTCTAAAAACAACATACATTGCTATTGGTAGTTAACTTTAACTTGGTATTTGGGCAAGATCGTACTCTACTCAATACGCCATGCGTTAAGCAATCCTCTTGCTAGGGTCTGACCTTGACACTTATTTATTGTTATTGCGAACGCTACAATAATTTTGAATTGGCGATGTTTAAATACAAAAGCAAGTGTTGATTCGCTGGGCTGTTAATTTATATGGGATAGTATAATTAGAATCACATGTTTAAAGTCCATTAACTAACCCTTTATATGTACATATTTGTATTGCGGCATCCAAACAATTACATTGCAATTCTTTAACTATTGGGCGAGACCATTAACTAACCCTTCATATGTACATATTTAAGTTGTAGATTAACATCACAACTGCTCTAACTTTTAGTATCAAGTCATGAGGCGCAACTCCCCTACTTCTACTTGCTCCTGTGGATATTCAGAAACGACAGTAGATATCGACGCCATTTCTACTCCGGACAACATATTAACCATTTCTTTATTAACTATCGTACAGTGCTTATTTTGTGGACACGAAATGGATCGATCCTTCAAGTGGTTTTGATTAATTACACCAGGCTGGGGTTCAAATACACAATCGGCTAAATCTCGCAAAATAAGCTCTTGTAGCACCAATCTTAATTTTTGAGTTTGGGGAGAGTTCTCGCCCTTCTGCAGAGAACTTATAAAATAGAGAAGACGCAAATTTTGGTTGCATCGAACATTTGTCTGAAACGTTTAGAGGACGGAATGTCACCATTCTATTTTAACATTTCGAGGTTTCTTAACATTTGAAATTTAACATTTTTGTGGATTTCTCACCAAATGCTCTTTCAACAATGTCGCTTGAATGTTCCTTTAATGTAGCTTGAACCTTGTCAGATTGTTGCGGGGGCAGATAAGTTATTTCAATAAGTTCAATATTTCAATATAATATTGAATTAGTAAATGTATGGATGGATGTACATCCTTTTCTATCAGTTTTCCAATTAGGTATTTTTTATTATTATAATTGGAGAAGGCGATTTTTTCTCCCTTTCTCCTGTCTCTATTATATATATGCCAAACATGTAAGTATCAAATGTCAAATATGAAAATGTAAATATGTATGGATATATACAGTATGTACATATGTAAATGCTAATAATTGCGCCAAATATGTAAGTATCAAATGTCAAATATAAAAATGTAAATATGTATGGATATATACAGTATGTACATATGTAAAAGCCAATAATTGCGCCACATATTGACATTCGTCAAATCTTTCTTGTCGTCGCTTGAAAGAGGTCGTATTTTCGCAAAGTTTTTCTTAAAATGCCGCCGGTTCGGAAATGTCGCGTTCGCGACTGCAGCAGCTCCAACGCCCAGACTAGGATGTTCGCCTTCCCCCAGGATCCTCATCTGGCCAAGAAGTGGAAGGACAACATTGGAGTCACCCCTGCTGATGGCCACTTTGCGTTCACCAACGCCTTCATATGCGAGCACCATTTCGAGGAGGAGGCAGTAGGACCGAAGCTGCTGAAGAGGAATGCGGTGCCCACTCTGCATCTGGGTAAGTCTCAATATTTAGTTGCATGAATGCATTTATAGGTGTGTACATATGTGTATACATTCGTATGTATGTAAATATGTAGTCATTTGTATGCACATATGTATACATTAATCTAGATGGTGTATCTAATGCTAGATGGTGTACATCTAATGCTAGATGGTGTATGTTGACTTAAATTGAACAAATTAAATTGAAATTAAATAAATTCAAGTAAAATAAAATAAAATACATTTAAATAAAATAGAATAAGTTAAAATAAAATAAAATTAATTCAAATAAAATAAAATAAAATAAATTCAAATAAAATAAAGTAAAATAAAATATATTTAAATAAAGTAAAATTAAATAAATAAAATAAAATAAGTTAAAATAAAATAAAATTAATTCAAATAAAATAAAATAAAATAAATTCAAATAAAATGAAATAGAATATATTTAAATAAATTAAAATAAAATAAAGAAAAATAAAATAAATTTAAGTAAAATAATACAAAGTTGAAATACAAATAAAATTAAAATAAATGTATGAATGTGAATGTATTTATAATGTATATCTTAATACATGTTTACATGTGTATATGCACATATGTATGAATATATGTATATGTAGCGCCGTATACATAAACATACGTCCATACATATGTGAAATATATGTCCCTTATTGTAGATAACTCCTGCTAGGTTGATTTTAATGCCGTTTAATTTCATGGTATAGGGGTATAGATCCATTATAACATGTAATATGTTAATTGTAGGTTCCGCAAGACTCCCCCCTCCCCACCCGTATCATCCCGTGCAACTGAGTAGAAGTTGTTGCGTCAAGGGTTGCACCTCAGACCAATGTTGCCACTTATCCAATCGGCGCGGTGGTTGATAAAATTTTAGATTTTTAGATTTTGTCATCGCCGCGACGCAAATCAACTTGTGGACGGCTCATGTTTGTAGCGGGGCAAGTGTGCAAGGTGCGCACGAATTTATGAATGGTAGTTTTTACGTTTATGAATGAATGTCTTGCTCGTGAGAACCGGGAGTTCGGGGAATAGTAAGCGCAGTGTCTGTATGTTTTCATTTGTAGTATTTGTATGTATGTAAATACATAAGTTTATATGTATTTGGTTTTTGATGTTCATAGATTGATTAGAGTAATTAGAAGCGATTGCATTTTTGTTTGCATGAACACTAATCAATTATGTACGCGTATGCATATGTACATACATATATGTATTTATGTATGCACATAGTTTGTTTACCTGTTCATATGCACATTTATATCTATGTATTATTCACAAGTAAATATTAAATTAAACATATGATCATAACCATTTAATTTAATATTTCTATGATTTCGATTTTTTTTTGCCAAATATATTTTTTTTAAAGATAAATATACCAAAAAAGTACTAAAATTGGTCAAAAACATTTTTAATACATGTACCTAAAAAATGAACAATCTATGGAATATGGGTGTTTCCAGCGGAAGGTCCACCACGACAAAAAAATAAAAGTTTTTATCTAACGTATTTACGGGCCGATTTGTCTGCTTTTTAAAATATATACTGGCTATGTAAGTAGAATCATCTTTGCATAAAATGGTCTTCCTAGGTGGTGCCAAGGTCGAGATATTTCGAAAAACCGTATTTATGGTCTGATTTGGTTCGAATTTGGCGTATGTGGTTGAAACATAATAAATCATAGATTTCTAATAAATTGACCCTGAATTGGCGCTGAAGTCAAAATATAAAGTATATTCTACATAAAATACATGTTTTATTTGCGTTAAAAATTCATTTAAAAGCAATATTAACAAAAATATAACGATGGAAATTTATGTCACGTGACGCCACGTCACGTCACGTTTCACACTTGGGGTTGTAAAAGAGAATTGAAACAATTTGCATTAATTCAAAAAACTCTAAAAACAACTAGAATTGCTCCAAATCATATTAAAATAAGTTTCATGAAAATAGCCATCCACAATTCGCAGAGTTTTGCGATTTTGTAAGAAAAGAAAAAATCAACTTCCATTTTTTGTCACGTAACGACACTCTCTTTAAATGCTTATATTTCAGGACCAAGCAGTTCGATTGATTTCATTTTTCGGTTAAATATAGAGCTAATTATGTGCTCAAAAAAAAAAGTTAAAGAAAACAAATGGTATTCCTTTTTTGTATCACATTGAAATCGTACGACTGTCACGTGCGCCACCATGGGAATGCCCATATGTAAAATATGCAAATGGTATTGGGCATCAATTAATCGGAATGGTTTTGCATCAAATAATTCCGGTTCTAATTCGCTTTATCGCTCAAAACTTTAGTTTCTTATCATTATAATTGTTTTGCATATAAAAAAGCAAAAATTTAAAAAATAATTAAAAATTGGCAATATTAAGTAAAAATATCATAATTCCGATTTACTACCCTGCAACACGGAGTATATCAATATACATATTGCTAGACATTATTTTGTGCCGCTAACAGTGAATTTAACAGAATCAACCACCAAAAAATCTGCAAAAAGTGGAATCCGTGGTTAAAACCTTCTAAATCGGTTAAGTTCCGACACTCAATAGTTTCCATTTGTTGTTTGCATCTTCTCTATTTTATAAGTTCTCTGCATATTCATGTATATTTTTTTATAAAATTAATATAATTAAATTATATTAAATGTACTTTAATATTAGTTAGAATTGCTGATTTGCATATCTGCATGACCATTTGTTAAATATAATTTAAAATATATATTCATTCAGTTTTAAGTAGCAATATTCGCTCTAAGCCGAAATTTACTACCTCTATGCCGACAAACTATATTACGCCTTACACTCGACTTCGTCTTGGTCATACAATTATCACCCATTCCCATTTACTTCAAGGCGCTGATGCCAGGGGATGCCCGTTTTGTAACCTTCCACTCAGCGTGAACCATCTTTTGTCATCCTGCTCCACACTCCAATCCCAGAGACATCATTACTTTAAAAATGCGGATCCTATTCAGTTGTTAAAAGATCCCACAGATGATAACATAACAAGGATATACAAATACCTAAAAGATTCCGACCTGCTTCGTCGTATCTAATATTTTATGCCACATTCCAGCCGAAAGCCTGCGATGCTAGTGCTGCGTTAGTTTGTAAGTTTATATGATAATTGAATTGTTATGTAAACTCTTATAAAAATAAAAATAAAAATACGCAAGTACTTACAGTACTACAAGTATACAGAGAGAAGATTTGCTACTCCCTTTCGGCAGCAGCGAATATCTCTCGTACGCGATGAGAGAGATGGTGGAGTAATAGCAAGTATGTCAAGTATTTACTCTCTCAACGCCAAGTAGTGTATGCAGTGTTGCCAGAACTTTTTGGACGAACCGGCTAAATTGGCAAATAAAACCGGCTAAAAACGGCTAATATGTTTCAACTAAATTTCACATGTTTTATTTAAATAAATCACGAGTAAAAAGAAAGGAAAAAATTTTGCCAGCAAGAATTTGCAATTAGGAAAAACATATGATTGTGGCACATGGTTGGATTTTTTGTCGACGATAATTTGAATAAACAAGTTCGTTAAATTTAAAAATTTACAAACTGGAGCGATTTTAAAATGAAAAACGTAAGTTAATACTTGTTTACTTAATTAATTTAGTTAATCCAATGATTTGAAAGGTACTCGGCAGAAAAAAACTGTATTCTTAATCCGAATGCAATCTCAACCAGAGTCGATATAGTAAACCCGACAAAGAAATTGAAACGTATGTTGAAGAAAGTCGGACTGACAAGATATATACACGCATATCCTGTTTTTTGCCCCTCTGAATGTGGTATTATAAGAGAAGCTACTCGAGCTTAGCATTTATGAGGAGCTGAAGGTGAAATTCAAAAAAGGCTATCAAACATTTTGGCTGCAGGCAGAAATACCCGAAAAATAACCTGGGCTGTAGGAAATGGTGGCATGCCTTGTCGAAAAAATTTTTAGGGACGTTTAGGGTTCGAACGATACTATCGATATTGAGTAAGTATCGATACTCAGGGTATAAAAATGAGTACTTTAATACTCGATACCTTATTTGGTGATTTTACTCGATACTTTGCCAAGTACTCGTAGTATCGAATACTTTTTAAAAAACACACTTTTTAAATTTTTTCTTCCATTGCTTTCTTTGCTTATATGGATTACTATCATTCAATTTTGTCCATCACTTAAAATAAACTGAAATTGCGTGTAGTCTGTTGCATATCATAAGCCAAATAAGTTAAAGTTTAATGGCCATATTCATAAAAAATAGAGTAGGTTTAAAGAGCTTAATAAAATGACATGTTTATACATTTTTCAGTTTATAAACCTTTTTTATTTTTTATGAATAAGGCCATAAAACTTTGCGCAAAGTTCACGAAAATGCAGAATTTTTAGAAACTTTTTGGGTATGCAGTTTTGTAACCTATTCAAATTTACGTGTAGCCAAAGTATTACGTGTAGCCTACTACCGTTGACTTTTAATTCAAACTTGCACATTATTATACTAAAATTGAAAATGCATACCCAAAAAGTTAAAAAAAAATGTCTTAATAAAAATTGAAATTCGTGAGAGTATATATATATATATATATATATATATATATATATATATATATATCTATTTGTATGTATGTATGTACATTTAACATTAAAATTACTTCTAACGTGAAAGTAAGTTCTGCAATGAAATAAAAATCAAATATTTTAAATTTATATTGTTTTATTTTCAGAAAATAACTAGATATACGATTGAAGAATAGATTATTTTAAGTATCCCAAAAAACGTATTTTAATGAGTCCGATACTGAGTAGTATCGATACTTTTTCCCTGATACTTTTAGGGTATCGATACCATGAGCTCGATGCCAGAATGAGTACTCAGTATCGATACCAAAGTCTGAAATTTCGAACCCTAGGGACGTTAAAAATCTAATAACCAAAAAGGAGCAGATTAAACATCACAGAACGGGGAGATTTGTGGTTATTCCTTACAAAACTTAAACCAAATATTGATAATTTGCTGTGAATACATCAAACACTTCCCTCCCATTAAAATTATGCTTATTTTTTTAATTGTTGATTTGAATTGTTTAAGGCGCGTTGCGTTATTAATGTTTAATTTTAATTCTATGAAGTCTGTTATGATATTATTTTAATAAATAGAACACAAGAATATACACTATTTTGATAGTTACTACTTCGAATTTAGAATTGGAGCACAGCCGCAAGGAAAATTTCCATCGTTAGATCTATTCTTCACATTTTTTACGAATTTTAGGCGAGACCGATAAAATACAAGATTGTGCTGATTGATGTGAAATTCGGGAGTAACGTGAATATAACGTCAACGCAGATGAGAGAGGTGGAGAAAGCTGAGATAGATCTATATGTACATATGTGCATATTATACAGGCAATACACAAAATCAGCTATGACGTCACATTTCTGTCAAAATTTTCAAGAGAGAGTTAGCGGTATCACAATCAGCGCCACCTTCATATTCACCATGTATTCGTTTCACCATGAGTTTTGGGAATATGGTAGAAATGTAGCAGGGTATCCACTGAAACCAAAATAATTTTTGAAAGGGGTAGACGAGGAAAAAGTCAGGGAACCTCTGGTTTAAATGGATAGCCTAATTAATTTCGACACCCACATGCATGTAAGTCAAACCAATAATAGTTGTGTTTGTTTACCCATTTTCAGTAAAATCCAGTAAAAATTGTTACAAATTTTCATGTTTTGGCCTTTTCGAACGCAAAAACTTGCAAAGTAGGGAAAATAAGAGAGCGAAAACTATAGCTTAAGTTGCAAGTTTTTACAGTCGGCTATTCTAGCCGACAGTTCAAACTGCATTCTACTGCGGAGAAAACCAAACGTTGAGTGACCAGAAGGCTGCACTACCTGCCACCACCAAGTGCGCCTCTTTTTTTCACCAGCAGTAAGGTTAGGGTAGCCATCGGGGAGGCAAAAGCCTCCAAAGCTATCGGACCCGAAAGAATTTTCATATTGATGCTAAAAAAAATTGGCTCTTGCGGGAGTGGACTATCTAACCAAGGTCCTCAACCTGTCTGTAGTCACTCTCATCATTCCAGACATCTGGAAAATGGGAAGAGTGGTCCCACCGCTTAAATCGGGTAAACCGTCTAACAAAGGAGAGTCTTATCGCCCGATAACCCTCCTTTCATCGGTAGAGAAGACACTAGGGGTCCTTCTACACCCTCGCGATACAATCCACCTGACCCCAGCGAAGCATCAGCCTGGGTTACGTAAAGTGCACAGCACAATAACAGCACTTAACGCCATAAACACTCAGATAACTCGTGGCCTTGACCGAAAACGCCCCTGTCCTATCCCCCCCAATGGTTTAATTATTTTTCAAAGCTCCCTCAACCACCAGAGGGAGTCACTATAGTCACTTATGCTGACGATTGCTCGATAATGGCGTCTGGGAATGGAATTGATGATTTGTGCTCGCCGAGCTTTCTCGCTTCTTCATTGCAAGGAGCCTTACCCTCTCCCCTAAAAAATCGTGGGCAACTTTATTCACCACTTGAACGAAGGAGGTCAGACTGCAGCTGGGTATTCACATCGATGGCGAACCAATACCACCGGTGAATAATTCAAAAATCCTCGGAGTCCCCTTCCACGGTCTTCTCTCCTTCTCGGCGCATACAACCGCAATTGTCAACAGAGTACAGAGCCGCAACATTGTCCTCAAGTCGTTGGCCGGCTGCACTTGGGGCAAAGACAAAGAAACGTTATTACGTTTGTTCCACACGCCTTTCGGGTTGTTTCGGTAATTAGAGTGTAAAAATAAGTTACTCTCTCACAAGTGCCAAAATGTGTCTATTGCAAGGAGTCTTACCCTCTCCCCTACAAAATCCTGGGTATTTTATTCACCACCTGGACGAAGGTCAGACTGGGTAGTGATAGCACGATATACGAGTACCGAGTGCAGAATATCGATACTTTTCATGAGTACAGTACGAGTAAAGATCGAGAATACTAAAAAGTATCGACGAGCTAAAAACTTTTCGAAATAAAGCCTTTGTAAGCATTAAGTCGGCCGCTGTGGCGTAGTGGTAATCGTGGTCAAAGCAACATCGCAAAAAATATAGAAAAAGGTTTTTCTTAACAGCGGTCGTCCCTCGACAGGCAATGGCAAACCTTCGAGTGTATTTCTGCTAGGGTTGCCAGATTTTGAAACGGCGAAAGGAGTGCATTTATATTTTCGATAGAAAAAAAGCAGTACATGACATAAAAAAGGAGTACAATTTTTTTTTAATTTTTTGTGCAATTTATTGTTACAAATTACCATTAATTAGGTGCAAATAAACAAAGATATCTTAGAAATCTTTTTCAAAGCAACAATAAATGTGAAAAATAAATAACTATATGGGTTGGCTTTCCAATAGGGATGGTTGTTAAAGAGATGGTCATCGAAGGGGGAGTGGACGTGGCACCTTTTCCGACCTTTTTGGAGAGGGCATGAACCGCCATTGATAAAAATGTTACTCCCGACCACCTAGGGCCCCTATGGGTCCCCAGGGGCCCCTTAGAAAAATTGCCAAAAGTCACAATTTTCACTTGCGTCCACAGTATTTTTGCGTAGAATTCGGTTCTCAATGACCGCCCATATAGGAAAGTTTCCCCAAATAAAAACTAAAAACTACCAAAGAATTCCAGACTCTTCCTGAATGTATGGTCATTTTTTTAATTTAAGCCTTATAATTAATTTAATATTATTCTGATTTTTATACCCGAGCGCCCTGCCCCTAAGGCCATGCTTACACCTTTTCACTATCACACTTAACTTTGCTTACTAAGTAGTGTTTGCCACAATATGAATGGCAAAGTACAGCGCGTAAAATAATAATTGTCGCACAGGTTTTTTGAAAAATAAAAGGGTTCTTTATAGATTTTGTGTTTTTTTGTTAACTTTGTAAATATTTTACTCTAATTTTATTAATTGGTTTTAATATTTTAATCCTGATTTGCATTTGCCAGCTTTGGGAGATAAGTACATGCGGCATGAACCTCTTTTTCAGGTGTATTTTTTCTTAAATTTTGTATAAAAAAATAAAAAAAACCGGTATAGGGTTGGTCGAATGAATGCCCTCCTAGTCACTAGTTTCGAGTCTTTTCGATGAGGCCTTATGTTGGACAAAAGAAGGAGAATAAAGGACTTAATGGGGGAAATAAGCCTATGTTACAGAAGATATGTAATAAAGTAACCGACCGATTACATTGAAAAATTTACAAAAATGTGCCAATAAATATTGGGTTCGAAAATTATCTTCTATGTATATATATCTAATATGAATGTCGTGTAAATGAATATAGCGCTCATTTGCTTCAACTGTCATAACTCAAAAAACCCAAAACTCGAGAAAACGGATTTAAAATTGTGAATTTAGTACATACATAATAAAAATTTAAATACGTCATGAATTTTGTTCTAGTGAGCTACTAATAATTGGTACAGCAATGCACAACATAGAATTAAATTTCATTTTTCAAGAAAAGTCAAATACTTTCAAAATAATTGCTTTTAAAAGCTTTAAATATGCTTTTAGCTATAAACATATATTCTATGCATGTAGAAGTAAACTTATTGCAAGTTCATTTCAAAAACTTCTTTAGAAATCCTTGTTATATCAGATTTCAGCAGTGTCTACTCAACTTACAAATAGAAAGAGGTCATAAAAGCAAAGCAATCTGATTTTTATTTACTTTCCCCGTTTGCGTTAAAAATACTTGAAAGTACGAGTATTATCGATACTTCTTTGCAAGTATGAGTACTGGCATCGATTCTTCTTTAGAGTATTCTAAATGAGCACTAGTATCGATACTTTTTGGAAAAGTTCTATCACTACAACTGGGTATTCACGTCGATGGCGAAACAATACCGACGGTGAATAACCCAAAAATCGTCAGAGTCACCTTCGACAGTCTGCTCTCCATCTTGGCGCACACAACCGCAATTGTCAACAGAGTACAGAGCCGCAACAATGTCCTCAAGTCACTGGCTGGCAGCACTTGCGGCAAAGACAAAGAAACGTTGTTGGCAACATACAAGGCAATTGGCCGGCCGGTTCTAAACTATGCAGCGCTCGTGTGGTCGCTGGGGACCAGCAGGACGCAGTGGATGAAGCTACAAACCTGACAGAGCACGGCACTTCGGACAGCGACGGGATGCCTTCTGATGTCGCCCCAGCACCCCCTCCACGACAAGGCCCAGATGCTCCCAATCGAGGAGCATAACTAATGTGACCAAGCGTACTCCTTTCGGAAGTACAGTACTTCTTTTTTCGCTCTTTTACTTTGTACTTCGAAGAACAATCAAATGTACTTGTTTGCGATATTTTGCACTTCAGGAGGGAGATTATGTAACCAGTTAGCGAACATTTTCGGATCGCTATCGCACTTTTTGACGCATGATATAATGCTTTTGCGTCCGATCTTCGGGACGATCGTCACATGGCCTGGGCGATAAATTCGTTCAAACCATTAAAGTCGACGGGGCTCATGCCTGCGCAACTGCGAAAGGCTCTGAAGGTGTCGTGCAATGGGTTGGATCCTATTTATGCGAACTGCGTGAGAACCCGATACATCCAAAGGCTTGGAGGGTAGTCCGTGTTGCGTTCCTCCCGAAGGCCGGAAAAGGCTCAAATGTTTCCCCTAGGGATTTTGTTAAAAACGCTAGAGAGACTGATAGACCTCTACATAAGAAACGCAATTACTCGTGACTGTCTGAGCCCTTGTCTGGTGGAACTCAATAGAGAACACGACGCCTGCGGATATTGCAGACAGAATTGTCGCGGCATGGACTGCTATTAGGCTAAAGGATACCGGGTCCTTTTGTGGCATAAAAAAGGAAAAGAAGACATTTCTCATCTGCAGCTAATGTTTTTATAGGGTTTTGTGGAATTGGTATTTATGCGGTGAGACTAGGAATTTCAACTGATCCTTTTGTACCAGCTGTCAAGAGGAAGATGAAGTGGAATCATCTCCACGCTTTCTTTTAGGCAGTCCAACCTTCGCGAGGCTAAGATGGAAGCATTTTGGGTCGCACTTCTGAACAAACACTGAGCTCTCAGGGATCGAAATTATCCGCATTCGAAATTTCGTAATCGGCGTTAACTTACCCAACCTAAGCTGTACTTCTTTGAGCTATGAAGCCCTGAACGACATTCACAGGGAGTCGGCAGGGGGTAGGGGTATGTATACTCTCGACCTGCGAATGCCCTTCTGGGCACACAATCACCTGACCTGGACGGGACAAAACTTTGTCTACCTCGGGAGACCCACACCCAACTTCTCTCTGGCTATTGCAACAGAATAAACTCATACCTGAGCAGAATAAACGAGGATGTGTCCAACCAGTGCCCGGCATGCGGAGAGTCGCCACATGACTCACGGCCTAAATAAAGTAAATTTGGTACCAAGCGATTCGTCTTAACTTTTAGATTTCAAAAATATATAATCTGTTGATGTTCGGGTTCTGACTCAGCAAACGAGACCAAAACTAGCTGCCGTTTGATGCCCGGGATAGCAACATATTAAATGCCAATTCTTAATGAAGATCCGTGGAGTATTTCTTTGAATGTTTTCTATGTTATTAAATATAATGAGGAATTGATTTAATAATTTTAGTTTTCGAGAAGTCCGTACTATACTGGTTATTTAAAATCATTTAAAACACATAGGACATATGAAAACTTCCGTATCAGCATTGACGTCTTCAATTTGCAATTCAAGCGGATCGAAATTAAAACTTTTTTACCCCCAATTTACAAAAAAAAGAACAAATTATTGTATTTCAAAACGTTCAAAAACAAAATCTTCTCATTCAAGCAGTTAATTTACTTTATAAAATATTGTTATTTAGCTTTAAAAGGCAAATTGTTTCCAAATTTTGGTCGGACAAATTATAACGTAAGTCCGTTAAAACAAGTTTCAATGCTGAAAAAGCTCGTTCAACACTAACTTACTTCTACTTTGTGAGGGTTATAATCCCTAAGCGAGGCCGAAGGCCGCCTACGCAGAAAGGTGTTCTCGGCAAAAGGTGTTCAGCCTCTTTTCGTCGCAAAACAGAAAGAGAATTCTACTTTGTGAGGGTTATAATCCCTAAGTCCGACCGAAGGCCTCCTATGCAAAAAGGTGTTCTCTGCAAAAGGTGTTAGCCCTTTTTCTTCGCAAAACGGAAAGAGAATTCTACTTTGTGAGGGTTATTATCCCTAAGTGCGGCCGAAGGCCGCCTACGCAGAACGAAGACCGTCAAATATCGATCATTACAACACCCAACACATGTGTTGAACAAGTGTGTGTTGAGTTGATATGTGTTGAGTCGGTGTGTGTTTAGTTTGTGTATGTTGAATTCCTGTGTTGAGTTTGTGTGTGTTGAGTTTACCTGTGTTATTTAGACATGTAATCGCTCCCACCATTATCTCGCTCGCGATCTCGACGGTGCACGTTGTACCCGGCACAATTCAACAATGTTGAATTGCTGTGCAACTTCGTCTCTTGGACCGCAGCTATCAATATACCATGCCTTCCCATGAAGGCGGTTATCTCCTCGATCTTGCTCTGTAGCCCGTTACCGTTAAATTGAAGGAACTTCGTGTGGTACGGAGACGTGTGGTGATGCGGGGTGTGAGAGATGTGTGTGGCCGTGACGCCATTGGCTGTGTGCGCTGCTGAGGTGGTTGACACCCTGTGGTGGTGGTGGGTGGCGTCGCAGTTGAGATCTGTGACCGAGCAGCGCAACACGGGCCCTCGAAGTTCCCCGTCCAATCTCGCGTGGTGCGCAGACCTCAGTATGCCCTAAAGTGCCACCAGCCAAGGCAGGTGTTGCACTTGACTGATGTCACATTACGGAATATCCTGGTCTGACATACCGTGCAGATTGTAGGAGGAACCAAGAGTTGTTGTCGCACCTGAAAGACTTGTCACGAAAATAGTACCTAAGTAAAAGTGCGAGTATTCCAACAACACCGATTGAATTGGTATACAGTTATTCCCATGGTAATTTCATATTCTAG